TCTGCGGCCGCTGGACCCCAACTTCACAGCGCCCGGCAGCGTCCCTGGGTGGGTGCAGCGGCCCCCTCTGCAGGCAGTCGCAGAGTGGGGGGAGACAGGAGGGCTGTCCAGTTCCCCACGCTCACCTTTCACAACCCAACCGATGGTGCCATGGAGCAGGAAGGCTGAGAAAGAGGCCACAGGAAGCCGTGACGCTGCGTGGGGGGAGGGGGTGGAGGCAGGCCACACAGCAGAGCCTGGGGCCAGAGGGACACATAGACACCGGGCTCCGGCCAGCTCGGACAAGGCTGGCCAAGGATGGTGACACCCGGGGCCCTGAGGGTCCTGTTTCTCCTGCTCCTCCTGCTCTGGGCCTCAGGTGAGCGGCTGGTTCCTCATCCCCTCTTCCCGAGCCCGGGACACCGAGGGATAGGGGCCGGGGAGGGGGTACGGTCGGGGTGTCTTGAGCATGTGCGTCCAAGGAGACCATTCTGCCAGCCTCTGCACCTTCTCTCACCTCATCCTGAGTTAGACGTCGTCATGATGAACTCGAGTCAGCCTGGGTCTCAGGTGATCTCCTCCCGCCCCTACTCTGGGCTGTGGTTTCCTGGCGGGCCTGGCTCTGGGACACAACTGGGCCGTGGACACGCTCATATCCAGCTGGCCTCTGAGCTCCCGGGGGAGGGGACAGGACGCTCTGGAGGCTGAGGCCAGGTGGGGCTTGCACTGAGCTCCCCCATGGCTCCCCCTGCCCCCGCCAGCTCTCCTCTCCCTGACCCGGCAATGGCCTCCTAGTCTCCGGTGAGCCAAGCCGGGAACAAGGCTTTCCGCCCCTCACGCGCTATCAGCCTTGCATACGTGGTGGTTCTCCAGAGTAGTTCGAGGACCCCAGGTCTTGCCCTTGCTGTACTCTCTCCCGGGAAATCTGAGCCCACACCTGGCCCACCTGGCCAGCTCTCACCCTCCTTGGCACCCTGTGATGTCTGCAGTGACCCTCTCAGGCAGAAGGGGTGCTCCCAGCTCAGCGCCCTGTGTGCCCCTCCTGTTTTGTTCTTTAGTGTTGTTATGTTACAAGTTTTTAAAGTTTATTTTGAGAGGAAGAGAGGGAGAGGCAGAGAGAGAGGAGAGAGAGAGTGCCAAGCAGGCTCCATGCTGAGAGCGCAGAGCCTGAGGCAGGGGCACAATCCCACAAGAGTGAGATCATGGCCTGAGCAGAAATCAAGAGTTGGATGCTTTATCGACTGAGCCACCCAGACGCCCCATTCTCCTGTTCTGCTCCTGACTCAGTGAGTGGCCTGCATGCCAGTCCCCTTACGTGTCTGTCCAACACGAGGTCATGTGGCTTTCGTGGGGTCATGGGGTCACATGGGGTCAAGCTCTTTGGGCTTCAAAGAACCTTTTTCTCTTCAATGTTGGGAGATTCAGCCAAGTGCAAAGTTCAGTCGACTCAAAAAAAGGGGGGGGGAATGATGATGTTGTCCTCCTGTCCTCCTGCCTGTCCGTCAGGCAGAAAGCTTCACAGATTGACCCCCTCCCCGGCCACCACGATAACCAGTGGTGGCTATTGTCCGGTCTCAGCGGGCACCATAAGGACCCCGGGCCCTTCACAAAAGCGGTAACTACGCTGGTTGGGGCTTCGAGGCTCCCCACAGTGACTGGGTTTATTCTATGGTCGATGTGGGAGCTCCTGTTTGGGCAAAGCGTCAGCCATTTGAATAGTATGAGGAGGCCTGAGAGATTTATATGTTTACATGTAAAGGTAAGTCTCCTTCTTTTGTGGATATTTATGGGTTACTCAGCATTGTCTGCTCCTTGATTGATTCATTCGATAAACACTGATGATGACTTCTTCGCAGGGCCAGGCCCTGAGCCAACGAGGCTGGGCTGTGGCAGAGAAAAGCAGTCGCCTGATGCTGAGCTGTAGGGAGGGGCAAAAACCGCCCTCTGACTTCCGGCCTGCTTCCCACTTGACCATGGATCGAGGTGGTTCCTGGAGGCCAGCTCCTGGGGCAGATCAGGATGGGGAAGTGCAGTGTAGGTCTTGAGGTGGGGACTGTCATCATCTCACACGGGCCTGGTTCAGGCTGTCTCTGTCTGGACTAAATGCTTCCAGTGTCTTCAAAAAATATTCACACAAAAAGATATTTAATCATCTTTTCTGCCCTCGCCAAAAGCTTCACATACGCGACTGTGCTAACATTTTGAGGCAGGCAGGAGGGCGGCTATGTTAACACCCGCCGGGGTGCCACCTGTGCCCAGCACCCATTTGGGACCCCTCGGGCACAAAGAGGGCTAGGATTACATAGAGAATGGCACCCCCACTCCCTTTCCCTCTCCTCTCTCTCCCCCTCTCTCTTTTTCCCTCTTTTCTCTCTCTCTTCCTCCTTTATTTAAAAAGCAAATGTAGATCATATTATACACATGCTCATTGAACATTTGCTTCTTCCCATTAAACGGTGTCATGAATATTTTTACAATCTAACAGAAAGTTAAAGTTTCTTTATAGGTTACTTAAAACACTGTCATCATAGATCTGATTATTATGAAATCCACTCTAAAATGTAATTTTTTAAAGTTTATTTATTTATTTTGAGAGAGAGAGATGGCGCAAGTTGGGGGGGGTCAGAGAGAGAAGGAGAGAGAGAGAGAGAGAGAGAGAGAGAGAGAGAGAATCCCAAGCAGACTCCGTGCTGCCAGTGCAGAGCCCAACGCGGGGCTCAAACTCATGAACCGCGAGCTCATGACCTGAGCTGAAACGGAGAGTCGGATGTTTAACCGACTGAGCCACCCAGGTGCTCCTAAAATGTAATTTTTAAAGCCCTACATTACTCTAACTTTGATCTGCCATTATCTGTGTCTCTTTCTTAAAAATTAGCTTGTTTCTTCTATTGCAAAAGTCATGTTGTGTGTGATTTCTTGAAAAAGAACCCACACACCAGAGAAGGATACAAGAAATGAAAAGTAAATGTCGCCCCACCCACCTCACCCTTAGCACCGCATGTCCTAGAGGTAGCCCCCCCTTAACCGTTCCTGGTGTGCCCATCGGAAAGGCCAAGGTGCACAGGTTGTCAAGACACCCCCACAAATGGACAACGGATAAAACAATGCCGTTCACAGGAAAAAACATACAAATAGATGCTCCGACTCCTTCTTAAGTTAAAACAAAAATATAATTTTACTCCTCAGGTTGGCAAAGGCTTGCAGGTTTGGTGAAGTCTAGGATTAGGAACATGTGGGTCCATAGCCACCCCGTTTGCTGCAGGTAGAAATAGGTGCATCCCCTTTAGAAGGAAATTTGGTAACACCTACCAATTTTTAAAAGCTCAACATTTTGACCCAGAGAATCCTATGATAGCAATGTTTTCTATGAATTCTTAACACAGGCTGACAAGAGGTAAGCAGTGTTGTTCAAAACAGGAAAAAAAAAAAAAAAAAAAGAGCGACAACCTTAAAAGCCGGCCAACAGAGGAGCGGTTGAACAAGGGTCACAAGACCAACCTAACGGAAGGAACAGTGTTCAAATGTCCACAGAAAGACACGGATCAGCAGGTGCCGACGTGGAAAGTTCTTCAACATATATTGCTGAGCGATCCCAGCCACATACATTTTAAAATGATTTATATCACAACACTCGCCTACGCATAGGAAATTTCTGCAAGGTTGTGCAGTAAATTGCAAAGGGTCGTGAACTCTGGAGTGTGACCTGGGAACTGCAGGGAGTTTTACTTTTCATTTTATGTCCTTGTGTACAGTTTAATGTATTTTTTTATTTAAATTTTTGTTAATGTTTATTTATTTTTGAGAGAGAGAGAGAGAGAGAGAGGTACAGGGCATGAGAGGGGGAGGGGCAGAGACAGAGGGAGACGCAGAATCTGAAGCAGGCTCCAGGCTCTGGCCTGTCAGCACAGACCCTGGAGCAGGGCTCGAACTCACGGACCATGAGATCGTGGCCGTAGCTGAAGTTGGACGCTTAACCGACTGAGCTGCCTAGGTGCCCTGTACATTTTTTTTAAAAAAAGAAACCTCTGTCCGTGTATTAATTTTGTTGAGAGACAGGTAAATATGTATACATATACATACACCCAGCATAAATACACAAATACATAAAGAGTCGGTTTTACAATGAAATTCTCACCTCCTGGAATAAGGAATACTGACTCTCTGTACATCTACGATGAGCGATACCCTTTATGTGTTTGAACTCTAATCCTTCCCCAAACTCAAAAGGAAGGTACTATTAGCTCCATTTAGCTGATGAGAAGATGGAGCCTCAGAGAGTTTAAGAGGAAACATAAAAGTTTAAGTGTCCCTGAGGTCACACAGCGAGTAAATGACTCAGAGCTTCCATTCCATGCCCCGTGCCAGGTGAAAGGGGAACTGAGCGAGAAGTCACAGAAGCTGGTCTGTCGTCCCGGAGCTGCCCCCCAGCTAGCTGGTGACCTCACTCAAGTCACTGTGCCCCAGGGGCCCTCAGTTTGCTGTGTTCTCCCCCTACCCCAGGAGGTAGCCTGTGAGGGTTGTAATGAGAACGTGGGGGAATAAGGCAAACTGAGACAGAATATGCCCAAGGGTTATACCATTAGGCCACAGTTGCAAGGGCTTTGGAGTGTCTGATATGGAACAACTGTGGAAAGCCCAGCAGGCTCCCTGGAGGAGGTGGTAAAGGGTAATAGGAGCCATGTGCCAAGCCCTTTGTACACACTTTCCCCCAAAGCATCCCACTGGCCCTGTGAGGTCAGGCGTAGTATCTCCTTTTGCTTGGGAAACTGAATCCAGCTCAAGTGTGCTTAGTTAGCGTAGATGGATGGAGCTGGAATTTCAGCCCACATGACCAGACCCTGGGGCCTGAGCATCTTACCCTCTACTTCTCGCCCTTGCTGCCTCCCTACCCAGACCATTCCCACCTTCTGCATCCCTCCTTCAGGTATGGAAAATTCTAGGATCCTGGAGCAACCGAGAAACGTCTGCCTGGGGCTCATCAATGAGGGCAACTATGAGTCCTTCCACCTGGAGAACACAGCTGGCTGCTTCACAAAATGCAGGCAGTCAGGGAATGAACCCTGCGACCTGAAAAACTTACAGAGGTAAGGGGGCCCTCTGAGCTAGAGCAGGGATCTGGGGCTCCTTCAAGGGTGGCAGGGAGGCTGTTAGGAAGAGACAGAGCTATCAGCCCCCACGGCTCCAGAAAGTGAGGCTGCCATCTCACCTTTCCGCCCCGTTGACACCCACATTCCCTCCAATCTACTCACTGAGACCTTTCTGATCCAGGGGATGCAGGGACGAATCAGCCCCTGTTCCTACCATTGTGGAGGGTCAGACAGGGGCCCAAATGATGATGATTCTAGAGTGTGATCAGACAAAAGGGTGGACAAGGTGCTGGCTTAGCTCAAAGGAAGACTGCCAAGGTTTCACAGAGGAGGCAACTCAGGAAAAGGCTTTGAAGACTCCATGGGAGTTTTCTAATTGGACCCAAGCAATGTTAGGGGATACAGGCAGCAGAACTTCAGGAGTGTTGGGGGGAGAACCACACTGCTTTGAAATGTGAAAGAGTGACATTCTGGGGATGCAGGCAACAATGGGGAGGTGGGCCGGGTAGGGGAGAGACTAGAAATATAAGCAGGGACCAAAGTGTGAAGGGTCGCATAAGCCGTACTAATGTGGGAGGAGGCAGAGCAAGGACAGATTTTTAAACAGAAGAAAAGCATAGTCAATTTCGCACTTTAGAAAGATCACTCCGTTTTCAGGGAAGGATACAAGGGTGGTGGTGCAGGAAGAGACATGGACCAGGATGCAACCACAGTGTCTGCGTAGGAGTGAATCACCTGGGTAGGTGCTAAATCACCAGCAGCAGCACCAATTAGCCCTGTGCACCTGGAAAGGAGGGATGAATTAGAAACACTGTATGACGCAGAATCAGTAAGACCAAGAGACTTATAAGGCCAAAAAATTAGAGAGTGGGTTGAGGGAGAAGGGGTTTAGAATATGACGTCTCTAAGAATCATCTCCAAAAATTTTTGCCTCTCTCCCCTCCAATCAAAGCTGGCTATAATTGAATTATTCTAAGATATGCAGGACAACCTCATAGCTGGCACTCAATTCATGCTTGCTGAAAAAAAAAAAATGAGTGAAAAGCCTGTGTTCTCAGGCTCGGTGTTAAGATGGCAATCTGATTGAACTATGTCATTTCAGGGGCCTGAAAACACTCCCATTCCCACCGGCACCTGCTTCAGTAGCTTCTTAGCTCTGGGAGGCTATTCAGGGATAGCCTGTGCTCTCCTGTCTGTGCTCTTTTATGACGGGGATAAACACTTTGGAAAAAGCAGGGGCTCTGGGATCAGAAGATGTGGATTCTGTTCCCAAGTCATCAGTTAACCAAGTTACCTCCTTTATCTTCACAACCCTCTGAAGTGGGTCTGGCCATCAACTCATTTCAATATAGGAATTTAGGGAGAGGGCACAAACATTTTGTCCGTAATAGGGCCTATTATGAATAACACTGGCATGAATTTTTAAAATATATCTTGCCATCAACGTTTTCGTACATGTCTTTTCATGAACATATACACTCATTTCTCTTGAGTAAATACCTAGAAGGGAATCGATGTCAAAGGTATGATGAATTTTAGTAAGCGTTGCCATAATTTTCCGTGGTGGCCATATCAGTTTACATTCCCACCAGTAATGTGTGGGCATTCCCGTTATCCCACACCTTTGCAATGCTTGGTATTACCAGTCATTTTAAGTTTAGCCATTCTGGAAAGGATATAGTGGTATCTCATTTCTTTTTATTAATTTTGATAGTTTTACTAAGGTATAATTTATGTACCATCCAATCTACACATTGTTAGGGTACAGTTCAATAATTTATGGTATATTATGCAGTGTGTGGAACCATTATTATGATCATTTTAATAACACTTGCATCAGCCCCAAAAGTACCCTCATACCTGTTTGCAGACAATCCCTGTTCATATACCCAGCCACAGTCAACCACTGATCTGCTTTCTACCCTATATATTTGCCTTTTCTGGATATTTTCCATAAGGGACTCATACAATAAGTTGTCTTTTAAATCTTGCTTCCTTCACTTACCGTGGTTTTGAGTTATATTCATATATTAGCATGTATCAATAGTTCTTTTTTTATTACTGAGTAATATTCCCTTGTGTGGACATACTACATTTTGTTTATCCATTCATCAGTTGATGGACATTTGAATTATTTCCAGTTTGGTGATTATGAATAATGCTGCCATGAACGTTTGAATTCAAATCTTTGTAGACATATGTTTTCATTTCTTTTGGGTAAATACCTAGGAACAGAATTGCAGGGATATCTGGTAAGCATATGTTTAGCTTTTAAAAAACTGCCTGACTATTCCTCAAAGTGTATCATTTGCTTTTCCATCAGCATGCAAAAGGACTGCAGGTCTAATACGTCTTTGCAACCTTGTCAGTTGCAAATCCAGTGAGTGTGAGTTGTATTTCACTGTGGTTTTAATTTGTGTTGCACCAATGACCAATGATGTTGGACATCTTTTCATGTGCGTATTAGCCATTTGTATCTTTTCTTTGGTGAAATGATTATTCAAATATTTCCCTCATCTTTTATTAAAAAAATTTTTTTAAATATAATTTATTGTTAAGTTGGCTAACTTACAGTGTATACAGTGTGCTCTTGGTTTTGAGGTAGATTCTCATGATTCATCGCTTACATACAACACCCAGTGCT